ATTTTAACAAACACGAAACGTGGTTCAGAAATAGCACTAAAGACATCGACTTTGCATATCAAAATACACGCATATATTATGCAGCTCCCGCGGCTGAGTCATCGATGAAAAATGCCCAGCGGGGCCAATACGTGACCAACTACACTTTCAAGACGGACTAAATTTATTATTACAATTTGATTATAAAAAAAGAATTTTCTTAAACACCTCTCATTTCGGAAGAGAAGCGGAGCTGACATGCAAATCTGCCACTCGAATGCAACGTGACGAGTGGGACGAGGGGGGGGGGACCAGGCGGCATTCCTAGCTTTGTAGAGGGGACGGTCATCGACCGTCCTCCGGCATTAAACTACGCAGTCGCATAAGGTCAAAACGGGCCGAGTCGACAACCAGTCCGTCGATACCGTGTCGTTACATTGTTCCATTGACGGCTGTGTACGGCCCCGAAAATCAATTACGTAGCCGCACGGGAAATGTAATTTGCAGCCTGCGTAAGAGAGGATATTATCTATAAATCTGATTACGAGTAATCCGCTTTGATGTCACCCAGAGGTGGTACGTCATCCGTGGATCGACTCGCACGAGCAAACGGACGAATGAAGCAATTTCTCTAAATTACGTGTTTGCTATTTTTTTCTACTTCGTTTGTGAAAGACTACAGTCTTATACAAGTGCATTAAATAAAAATTAAGGTACCTGCAACTTTTTTAACCTATTTTTCCCTTTTAATGTAAGACATATAATGTAAACACATTATAAGTCCACGTGAACAGACTCTGTTTCAGCAGCTGCGTAAAGCCTCATAACCAGCTGAGGGTAGCTGTTACGAAGACTGCCACAAATAATCTAAAAATTACCTACCCGTATCTGGGACGACGTAAAACTAGTAGGAATCGTCTCCACGGAACAAGTAGGTTGTATGACCTACAAATAATTATGCTTGATCTGGATATGTGTTCTTGTGCAATGTATGTATGTAAATTGCCTCTACGATACAGGAGAAAATTCTAGTAGAGGTAACTTATTTAAAAAAAAATATATGTTATTTCTTTGTTATTTGAAAACATAAAGAACTGATTGAAAATGCATTTAGGTGTTCATCACACATTTCGTAATTCATTTAAGTGTTGATCGTCAAATGAAACTGGTTTGGAGATGATATTCTCATCTTTTCTTTATTTGGAATTCGAGAAGAACTTAAGCAACATACAAACACACAGACTCAAAGATACTCTATCTAACCTCACGTTTATTTAGATATATTAAAGGACTTACCAATCGAACTCTACAATAATTTTTCAACAGGAAGTTAAAATAAAGTAAACAAAAATTACAAAATATGTTATGTGAATCAGTTAACGAAAATACAAAAAATAATATGAGCATGCCACAAAGAATTTCAGTATGATATCATTACATCACACCAACATGTATAGCATGTCCCATGACTCAAGCTTTATCACAATGAGTAAACGAGGAATATTTCCTTCAGATAACGACCTAACAGTTAGGTCGCAGTATTCGGACACCTGTTTTGTTAAATAAACTGAATATCTGTAATTTTTCTATAGTGACTTACACATATACTATGCCACCTCATCCACCTCCGCTCGTCTTACAAGTTCCTCACTCCATCTCGTCCCAGTCACCAGCGTAATGGCATATTCAGCTATGTTATGTTCAGCAGTGGACATGTGAAGAGTAGTAGTAATGATGATTATACTAAAAGTATTTAACGTATAACCAACACGAACTTGTACGAAATAAAAAGAATTTGTAAGAATATTTAAAAATGAACTTGTCAAATACAGTCACGATAATGTATTTAATATTGAACCTAAACAAAGAAAAAACACACTACGCGAAACCTAATGGAGTTAGTTACCATTGGCGTCTATGGACACCATCTAACTACATTCAAAAAGAAAAGAAACGCTCTTGTGACTAGAAAAATTCTCTTGGTTTTGAGAACCTTGCGATATTTTTAAAACACAAACAAATTAGGTCATAGATTCTTTGTCACTCCTGAGGATAGGAATTAGAAAAGATGAAATAACTCGCTGTCTGTAGGTAATAATACTAGATCTCATCTTTTACTATTGAAACTGGAACGCATAAGTGGGTGAACAGCTGCTGAATTATATGCTTCAAAACCTTTTATTATTTATAACGGAATACTGTAAAAGTATAGCTTACGATTTAAAAAAAAACAGTTCACCGAATTTAAAATAATGCATTCGTTGAAAATGACACGGTTTATCTCAACAAAATGCACAGCCTAGTGCGCATTTTGTCAGAGATTTTTCTTTAATAATGAAGTGATATTTACTCAGCGGCTTTCTTCGACTTTACGGCCTAGCATGAAGTTTTATAAAATGAGTTCATTTTTGAATTAAGTTTACGTAAACTGTCAGTAGTACGTTAGTAGTAGTAACGTTAACCATATGTGTGTGAATACCCGCTAACCCATTATATCGTCCCGTGGTGTCGTAAGAGGCGACGCTAGGAAACTGGTAATCTGTCGGGAGGCCTATGTACAGCACTGGACAGACAGCCAGACAGGTAATTAATGTATGGAAACTGTGACTAGTAATTTTCGAATCGTTGAATTTAATCTTGATCGACGAAAAGGGTCTTATATTGTGACAAATATATACATGATGCCTTTCGTAAATTTTGATCCGCTTGAATAGACATGACAAACTAATTAAGGAAACTATTCATACCTATATTAAATTTTTATACACTTGTATATTTCATAGTATATTTGAATATTACTTTATTTTTTATTACTTAAAACCCTGCAAACATTACCACAAATACATATTTTAGACCGCACACACGATTGCATTATACTGCAAGTTGATTTTATCGCCTTGATTGTATCTGGGCGATTAAATAGTATAAACTACGGACTTACCTTGTTTCGCAGCCTTCGATGACGTCACCCGGCGGATGTTGTAGAAATCTTATTTATAACTAAGCACACCCTTCATAACTTATTACTTAGACATAGTTTACGTCAAAATACCTCAAGAATTGCAGGTCCTGAGTTCGAATTTCAACGGGAGCACTCATTACAAGAACATTGCAAAGGTGTGGTGATTGCCTATCAACTACTTTTGATCATACATCATCGTGTTTAATATACACAAGTAGATTCAGAGTTAGTACCATTGTTACAATTGCGGCACTATAATATGACCTGCTCAGTAGAAACCTTTCGACAGACAGAAAAACCTGAAACTTTTTTTTGATATTTTATGAAAATTGAAATATATTTTCAGCACCGGCAGTACGATTGTTTAACTCTGTTAGGTATAATAAAAATAAAATCTTTATTAAAAACGGAATATATAATTCATTGATATCCTGACACCTAAACTAGCACACTTTTGTTGTCAGGAGGCAGTTTCCCTTCCGCTCAATTACTTTGTTTTCTGTATACAATACAGACAAGTATAACAAAGCGGAAGGACAAAAGTAATGTGAGCCGATGAGAATCAATCCGCAACTATGTTATGATTTTTTATTATAATAATATTATGTAAGCTAAAATAAGATATAAACGTAAAAAAGACAGACAATATAAACGTGGAATATGATTTATTCGTGGTAATATAATAATATTATAATAATAATGCCCTCCACACCGAACTTCGGTCACGGGCGGTGACCTGCCTCAACGGAGACTAGCCATCGGCGCAGGACAAGATTATAGCGCCCAAGTCTTGCGCAAGCACAGGTGCACTCTATTCCATCACTCTCATAATCCGATGAGACGGTAAACAGACACGACCAGAGAGAGATCAGGTGCAGGACCAACTTTTTACGTGCTTTCCGAGGCACTCCGTGCGGCTACTGCGAATTTCTTGACCGAAAAACTCAATACATAATTGATTTTTCGGCCCGACCCGGGATTCGAACCCAGTCGTACTACTACAACCACTAGACCAACGAGGCAAGTGGTATAATAGTTGTAGAACGAATGGGTCGGCTCGACCGGGGAAGAACCACGCTTTCACAGAATACCAGCGTGAAATAGTAGCTTAATTCTGCTATGTTTCGTATACTGAGTGTAGAGAACCGTAGACCCCATTTACTGAAAACGAGGTATTCCATCTTAGTTCAGTTGACAAGACAACGGATCTAAATTTTAACTTTTTATCGAGAATATATGCATATTATATCCATAAGCCACATGTTACCATCAAGTTGATTGTGTGCTCGATTGTCACTTATTCTTTAAAAGATTCGATACTAATACATTTACGCATTACAACAAAACGAAACCTCAAACATGATAATCCCGATTCCCACAGAGTTACACAATCGTAACTGAAGTCGCATCAAGTGAATTATTTATATAGTCACTTTTTATGCACTAGTTTATCTTTTTAATTACTAGAAAAGCATAGCCATCGACTGCATAGTTTTATGTTCAGAAGTTACTTGTATAAATTCTCAGCCATTGCTTACACCAAGAGCAGCTTACCTCGTTACATTGCGCTCAATAACTTTGAACACAACACAATCGTTAGCTTGGTAATTAGCTCGAGTACATACACAGTTTGTTCGTTTAATTGAATTACCTTTGGAATTAGTCATATGTAGCTACTGTAATTCTTGTATTGCACTGATTCAGTGCCTACAAGTTATTGTAGAATATTTATGTATTTTTATATCTTTACATCATGATTACACAATTTCAGTTTTCTATTACTGGTGTTATTAGACTAGTAGGTTATTTTTTCTCAAGGTTGCTAGTTTATTCTAGATAGTTTGCGTTATAATTATCTCATATTCGTTCCGCTATGTTTATTTCTTTTTATAATAACTATGCAGTCCAATTACTTGATTAGTAATTGCTATTCCTTTTGCATTAAAAGCCACATTCTCAGTGAGAACTCTCAGAGTGAAAATTATCAAAACTAATCAACTAAGAATGTCAATAGCAAGATTAGAAAATATTCGAGAAAATCGCAATGAAAATGTGTCAGTTATACTGTTGCAATATTTGTAAACTTACTCTCATATCCAGCCGTCCACGCCCAGAGCGACACCATCGCCAGCAGCCAGTGGTACATGAGCCCTTCAATCCTCCAATAGACTGGCGCGAAAAAGGGTCTGACGAGCCGCAGCGCCATCATCCACACTACGTAAGCGGGGACGCAGTATAAGTTGTTCACGACCGCGAATGTCGTACGCGCCGCGACCCTCACGTAGCGGCTGAAACAGCAGGGCCGTTCGGTTGGTGACCGTCTCGCCTCGCCACAATCCTCAAGGTCAGGCGGACAACATGGATAGGTGATATGGAAAGTAAGGTGTGAGAGACTAGTGCCGAGGCGAGACGGTACCGCGTACTCCCTGCTGACAGCTGCCAAGCGTTGGGCTTTCGTCGGACGTGAACCATGGCGCTGCGCCGCCGTCACAATTGAAACACACGTGTACATTCGACGATATTTATTATTGGAATCGTTTCACCGGTTCACTGTCGGTTATTTCGTTAATAAGACTGCGAGTACAAATTTAAAAATCACCCGTCGGCGAGCGACGGCACGCTCGCCGGCGAGCTTACATGCGATTTCGTTTGCGACACACATTTTACACCGATCAACGTAACATTAACTCGTACGACGCGAGCACACATAGACAGACATACACAATTATTTTATTTTTTTAGTTTACGATGCTGCATACTGTGGCACGACCGCGGCCGGTCGCGTTCGTCGTGTAAAACAATACAAAGTTCATTATATAAAATTAAAAAACGACATCGGACCGCTGAAATTATACAAAAATTACAATATTTAAGACTGTACACTATCTAATATATACAATAGTTGCCAGCGTGGATATGTGCGGGGGCAGTATATACAGGGCGGTGGGTAGATGGCCGACGACTGCGCTCACACGTCGTAGTTGTGCGCCATGAGGCCGTGAACTTGCTCGAGACGGTACGCGAGTCTCTGCTTCTGCGAGAACTCGTCCTCCTCGAGCGTCACCATCAACTGCTCGTTGTACTTAACCGCATACGCGTATAGCTCATTCAGCGCGCAGTTCGTATTGAACTCTTTCGTGTGGAGGCGCGACTCCTCCGCTAGCATCGCGTTCATATCCTGATCGGATATCGCCGGCATCAACTTTATATCCGCGTAATACCGCTCCACCCACTCTTTGTACACCGGAATATCTTTCGCGTAAAGAAGCTTCGAGGAAGGCGAGTCCTTCCCGAGGATATGGTCGGACGTCGAGCACGAGTCCATAAACGTTTGCGCGATCACAGATAAGCAAGAGTCCACCGTATTAGATTTATGTACGTCGAAAACGAAATTGGGATTTTTGATTAAATTAACCCAAAAACGAAGCGGGAGCGAATTGCTTTTCCAAGTGTGAACCACTTCCGGATCCGAAATCGCGTGTTGAAGCGCCTGATCATCGAGGAAGTCGAACATGTATTTAATAGCAAGCGGTAGCGCCGAACCGCGGTGCGCTGTGCTGAAAATAGTTTCGAACAAGTCATCGACAAACTTCTGCAACGTACCCTTAGTAGCGAGGAGACGCGTGAGATATATCTCAGAGACCATTTTATTACCGCGCTCTCCCTCCTTGTGCGCGTCACCGTCGTGATGCCTAACGAGATGCCAGTATTTAAAGCCACCGCCGTGTTCGTACTTAAGCGGGCTGGCGGGTGGACTAGCCGAGCCGTATTTACCTCTATTCAGAGTTTCATAAGTATGCGACTTGTCGTTTTTCTCCATGTTGGATAAATTATAAACGGAGCTCTGCTTAGCAACTAGACTGAGACAAGCACAGTCAGGTACGCGGTAGTGATTAAGGGTGTTCAGCTTGCGCCATTCCCCTTCGCATTTAGTAGTGCTGTCCTCGTCATACAAAATTAATCGACCGCAAGCGCCCGTGCGCCACTCCAAGTCTAACTCGTCACGGCTCGGCCTTTGCGAGTACGGTGTAGCGCGGTAAATAGCATCCAAGCACTTCTCCTTTACTTGACTAATCGTATCACAGTCGAGAACTTTAACTTGTACATTTTCCGTGGTCGCCTCTAAGCCACTTACGAAGATCGTTTGTTGAGATATCGATACGCTCACGGTCATCGCTTTGAAATCTATCGACTGCCTAATTAGTTTCTCTTCGCTGAGAGAATAGCGCGCTTCGGAGGTAATAGCGTCCACCGGTCCCTTATCTACCTGACCTTTCATCGACCTGAACAAGAGGTAAAGAGGTTCGCCGGCGCATTCACGTAAGAATTTATATAAAAGGAAAGTGAACCAAGCGCTCAGCATTTTTTCGGCAACGCTCTCTGTACGCCTTAACAATAACTTTGGATGACTTTTTCCTTCCATGCACTTTTCTATTAACTCCGCTAGTAGCGTCTTTAAAACATCAGTACAATATTCCATCTTACTTTGTAAAGTTACCATAATAAGAGAAGCTACATTAACACGATCGCGCATTGAAAAATATCTATTGCTTTCTAAAGTACGAATAAATAATAATAGGAATGTTTTATTCATAATTAACTGTCCGAACATTTTCAGACCTTTCTCTTTTCTAATAAGCTCTGGACGTTCCCACTGCAGGACGGCGTGATCGTCAATATTCGGGAACAATATCTTCATTGCGTAGGTGCGGTAGTCCAAGAACGGTATACCGCCAGTCACGTCTCCCGTCAGATCGGTCATTTCAGTCTGAAGTTCGGCGAACGCCTCCTTGCATTCGGCCGCTACCCTTAACTCTAAAATATCCATTTGCTCCTGCATATTCTTTAATACCCTAATATTTTCAGTTGATTTTCTCCTATACATAACTAGAAACACGACAAATACTAATATTAGTATTACTACGCTGGCACTAACACCGAATAATACTGGCTTTCCGATGGCCGCCTGGAGGCCGGCCTGAGAGGAATAAGATAGTTTTCCGATCTTGTACGTGAGAGCACGACCGACCCTCACGACGACCTCCGGTGAATCCACCCCGTCTGGCAACTCATCGCGCGACGGCGGTCGACAAGTCAACTGGTGCCTCCCCAGCGAGGTAACGTTACACAAGCTCTCGCCTATACGCACTTCAACGTCGCTCTCCGTACAAGCCCTGTCCAAATTCTGCCCATTGATAGTCAAATATTCCGATTTATAATATTTAATGTCTTCATCGAACTTCTCGTATATCGGATCCGGATAAAGTAAGAACGCGTCGCCAGTCTTACTTGTCAAATTTTGCACGCTTTGCACATCATCCATATTGAAACCGTATTCCAATTCTAGAGGCCTGTCCGGATCTAGATTAAGACCCGCACTCTCAATCCCGGGGGACTCGCAAATCAAATGCGTCTGAAAATCAACTCTATGGCAAGGAGCAATATATGGCCGGTTGTCGTGATAAACATATATTTGCGGGAACTGAATGGAATGAAAGTTACGGCCCATTACTTTGATGTTTATCCCTCCGGATGGGATGCCCTTGGGTTGTTTACGCTGAGATGCTAACGGCGGGCCGGATTCGACGGACACTACAACAGGGTCTTCTATATACTCAAACTTTTCACGTTCCAATGTTCTCATTCCCGTGTCGAAGCGCATCCGCAGCGTACCCATTTTAAGTTGATAAGAATGACTGGTACGGCAAACTGCCTCCTCGTGAGACACGGAAAGAATAGCGCACGGCAGGTCATCGATAAAAGCCTGAATGTTGTTTCCGGCGTTTAAATATTCGCCTGTGATACGCAATTTAGTTCCACCTGATTGTGGACCGTATTTGGGTTGAATAGAATTTATTTTCGGATTAACGAAGGCATAATGATGTTTCGATTCTCCACGATAGTCTGCAACTCTGACAACCACGGGTCCGTCTCGCGGGACCTCCTCGCCCGGTCCGTCGACAGTACAAACGATACGCCTCGTTTTCACGTACAATGCGACTATTGGCTGACATTTAATACCGGCTATGGTGACGCCATTATAGATATCGGATATATTGCGACCTAGATTTATGCCTTCGATAGTAATGTTTGTGCCTCCGTCCCACGGGCCTAGTTGCGGTCTAAAAGAATGTATTTCTGGGTTGGGACACGTCTGAGTTCGATTTAACCATACACTTGGGGCACCACACTGTTCCTGAACTTCGCATCGATCCGATCCTTGACACCAGCCACACCCGAATTTCTCGGGTAAAGCCAAACAAATTCCACAGTTATCCGCCATGTCGCTACAACGATATATGAGTATATGTGTGTTATCCGGATTATCTAACGGCTTAGATCCTCCCCATATTACAGCAAAAGAGGCGGTTATGTTCGGAGCGCGCGATGTATAGGTAAATTCGACGGGTTCACAATAAATTGTATCGGCGAGAAGCTGAGCATTCACGTGGGTTACGCGTCCCTCGATATTAAACTGGCATACGAACCTCGTTTGGACTATAAATTGGCCTATTATATGAACTTTTACTTTTATTGCCTTTTTAACGCCGGATGGGACTAGAATTTCGTTTGTACCGTCGGAAGTAGAATTAATCGTTGGACAAAAACCGGGACCGGAGCGATAGCTAGGGCCGATTCTACTGACACCGGTTACGAGAATGTCGTTTCTACAGTTTTCGGCCGTGTCATGGGTGCAACGGTGACCGTCTACGCACCAATCGCAAGGGAAAAACGAACTTACGCACTGAGTACAAGAGCTATAAGTGTTGCAGTCAAAGAAAGTGAAATTCGTCGCTACAAAATCAGGCCCCTGGGTTGTTCGCACGGACAGTTTAGCTGTGAAATGATGCTGACCAGCAGGAATAGGCGGCAACGTGTCAGTACGCGGAGTTGTACAATTTACACCATACGGTTTCCTAGTAGCATTTGTTATAAGAGTACGGTCTAAAGCTGTAAATGCGCATAAGAACTGCCCGTTTAGTGTGGGCAAGTTTTCTATATGTAAATCTAGAGTCCTTGCGGTCGTTCGTTGCAATTGATTCGGTGTTACTTGAGTAATAGTTGTGCACCGTCCACTGCGATACGAGATCCAATACAGGGGATCTTTAGCTGCGTCCTGACAATCCGATCGGAGGCTACACTTATTCTCTAAGGAACACCAACCACAGTAAGGGTCTTGGCGCCTAGGCATGTTAAACAAGATTTGTACACGCTACACTCTTGAACTTTCACTTTGGACACTTTACGCTCAGTCATTACGTATAAATGCATTAATTGAGTATCGAAGAATAAGTCTTTGTTAACTGGGGAGCGCTCGTCGACTACGATGTCTCCATACTCGAACGCTGAAGTGGCACTTTCGACGACTATCTTCTTGAGATGTCCCTCTGCTGTGCCTGCGAAGACTACAGTATAGTCTCCGGTCGCCGTCGCCGCTACCGCTGTCAGTCTCTTTTTAAATATTGCCACAGGTACTGCTTCTACCGGCTGCTCGCCTCCTAAAGGCGTATTAACATCCAACCCGCAGAAATCTTCGCTTATTGATTGTAATTTCGTACCGATACAAGCGTGAGATGGTGAAATAAAGTCCAGGCCACGCGAGCCATTTCCACTGAAGCAGGTCTTAATATTTTGCATGAATTTCCGCCTGATAGCTTTGAGGGAGTAAACACAAAGTGCTGATAGATCGGATGGCGTATTCGTGTTTATTGATTCGCTTTGACTAAAAGCAGCGAATAGAACATCGTGTTGTGCTGTTATTCCGAGTTCAGAAGCAAGCACGGAGCCTGCTTTTCCTACAAAGGCCGCCTGGACAAGATTGTAGCCGAAGTTGCCTCCACCCTCTCCTGTACACGACATCGGTATCTCGGTGTAGGAGTAATAGTTTTCGTCGTCATGACATACACGAACCAATTTACTGTAATAGGTATCGGAGCCGACTCCACGCAGTTGAGTCGTCAAAAAATAACTAAAGCCTTCGGAGCTGAAGCCGTATACATAGTTTATAGGGTATCGTTCTCTAGACAAAGAATTGACGAACATTCTAGTGCCTGTTGTGACTGCCGTTCTGGCTATCATGAAGAGTCGATCATCCTCTAAAGAGCGACTGCTCACGGTGGGCACTTCAGAACGGTAGGGAGAATTGCCCGTAAAAGTTACACCCACGTACATCACCTGTGTCATTGGTGGATTGGGTGGTCCGGGAGCGATGAAAGCCACTGTTGAAGCGCTAGCGTTATTCGCGACCACTGGTTCGCGGACCTCACGCACATCGTGAGAAATGTTATTCAAATTCCGCACCGAGCATAATCCCTGCAGCACCGAGCCGCACGTTATCAGACGACTGGTGGCGTAATCTATAACAAGCGCCTTGTTCACATTGTCCGCAGGCTTCTTGACGAAGTTCGGCGGGCAGTCGAAGGTGCATAGTGCAGAGTCGTTGACGGGCCCGGTGACGATCGACTGCGCGACCTCTAGATCCGGAGACAGCTGGTAGATCCTGTTGACGGCGCCGACGTACACGCGGCCGGTGTTCCGGTCGACGACCAGGTGGTTGAACAGTGACGTCGGGGCGGCTTGTGGATCGGAGAAGGACCGCACGACGTCGTGGGAGGCGCGCGCGGCGGCGCTGACGGCCGCCAGGGCCAAGAGCACGCGCCACATGACGCGGGCGCATCGGGCCGCCCGCCTACCGCCGCCGCTCGCGTGCTTCCCCGCCCGCCCATCTGCAACGCGACACACGTCAGCCGCACTGCCACCGCCCGTTCCCATCGCACCGCGCCGCTCGCCCACGACGACCGCCTAACTCGGACGCGCCACGACACCGCCAGGCTAGCCGGATTGGTTTGAGAGAGGTCAGCCTTATTAATCTGATATCAGCGTTTAGGCGGACATGTTACTGGCTCGTCTAAATCCAGCAAAGGCCGCGGCGCGGGCTAGGAGAGGCCCAGTGCGATCGGAGCGAGTTCACGAGACGGGACGCACAATCACCGTCTTCCTATCAGGTGTACTAACCTATGAGACGTACTAAACTGTACTGGGATATTTAGGAGCGTATCGGAGCGCTTAAGCCCGGAAGTTTTTAATAATCGCGATCAAAAATAGGTTAGTACCGGGGAAGATCGGAAATCGGCGGCCCCGACGCGGACAGTGCATTGAATGATTTACACACCCGACGAAAGCCTCAATATTATAATATGGAGTAACATAAAAATCATACAACTTGGCATGCTGTTCGATACGAGGGAGCAAACGTGGTAGCGCAACGGGAAATAAAAAATAAATGAACTAAATATTCCAAATAAACTGAACACATTGACGACATCGAATCTATACTTACAGGATAGCCATGACGGAATTAGATCAGACGGGCTTCGAAATGACGGTCTACTTGATCATACGCGTGTATGGAAGCGCACTTTCATAATGCGAGGACCGCACCGTTGTTTTCTTGTCGAGACCTGTAACAACAAACATTACGTGTTTTAAAGCCCATCTGGGCTCGATCGATCTTCTTTCATTGCAACGCGATGTATGTCACCGTGCACGAATGACTTGTGCAATCTGCAGATAAATTAACAAATATTATGCAGACAGTTATAGCCTTATATTAGTTTAATTTGTATTATTGCAAACTATTTTATAAATATTTGTAACTCGAATCAGTGCTATAAATTAGCCTTACGGCCCGTACCGCATCTACCAGCATAAATGTTCAAAACTCGATAAATCCGATTCGATAACCCCAATGTCGGCTCAACACAACGCCGCACGAGCGCGACCGGTCGTTTGGTCTTGCATTCCCTGCCTCCACCCACTCGCTCGTCATTCGATGTTATCTACAACCTACGCACGCGTACAAACGAAAATTATCACCACATTGTCTCTAATATCACAAAAACATTACAATGATAATATTTGGACGATGCTTGGATCTACTTCTTTGACGGAGAACGGAAAAGAAAGTCAGCCATTACCGCGCACGCGATTCGATAGACGGAAGCCATTCCAAACGCCACGCACTGGTGAACGAATTAGAAATAGTATTACTAACTCTAAAACTTACCTTATGTTATACAAAGCTCTCAAAAACAATCCTTTGGCATCCAGAAGTGATAGACAAAAAACGAATAAATCACTTAATTGCACTTCACAAATATTTCCTTTGTAATGATTTCACTATAATTTTTAATGATAACACAACACCACTATCGACTGTCTTTATCACAACATTATTTGTATATTATAAACTTTGTGAAATAAGCTAAGCCCGTTCCAATGAGTAAAATGTCCCGTTTGCACAAAGAGTCTACGACAAGAGCATCAGTCTCCGTACATCGCCGTGGAATGATTATGGTTTCGCTTTTCGAACGAGTCTAGGCGTGACTGAACCGAGAAAAGCCGAACGCATCCGAATCGAAAAAAGTACAAAATTTCTTCACTAGAGGCAGCACAACAGAATGCTGCGTTCATAAATACTTGACTCATTTTGGTGTCATTAAAAAAAATTATTGAAGAACTAAACAAAATTATAATTATAGTTTTAGAATACTTTTGAAGTTTTAGTAATTTATAATTGAAAAGTAAAGTCAAAATAAAACAAACATTTACTATCATATCATACCTTCATTTATACCTGAAAAAGAAAACCAAATTATGAATGTGCTAATAATTGAAGGGTACAGGGGCAAAACAAGAAATGTAGTTAAAACAGGTTTTTCAATAATTAACATTTTAATGTTTGAATGTTTATAAGTTTTCTCGTTCAATGTGGGTGATTTCGCATTAATTTTTTCACAAATCGACTGAAAAATGCTTACGTATGTATGTAACTACTCTAAGGAAAAATGTAAATCTAATATACACTGACTGAGTAGAGTTGCCACCCGTACTATAATATTTCTATCGTACTATATATATATTATAGAAAAATAATATACTACCAAAAATACTTTCAACTGTCGCTTTTTTATATTAACTGTAATACAAAAAAAATTTTCCATCATGAATATAAAATTAAAAGAAGAAAGAAAAAGAGCATGTATTAATTTCATTTTAAATTTATTTTAATATGAATCTAAGTTGCTCATACTCATTTAATTATTTCAAAAGTCAGGTATGGCCAAAGCAATGAGCAATAACAAATAAATATGGAAAAATAATTTGTATTGAGATTTTTTTCATATTTGTTTGTGTTGAGTACATACAGACATAAAGTTTAAAAATAAATATTTACTGTTTTTCCCCGAAATTTCCCAAAAGTACTGTATTTTAGCATCTTTTTGGAAAAAATACCATTTTTGTAAAAAAAGGTGGATACCCTACTGACAAGGCAGTCACAACAACAAAACCATGGAGTATAGAGGTAAGGAGCACAATCTCCCATAGGAGAGTAGTTGAAAATGTGTCCACCCGTAGGCGGTAAATAACAGTTCAAAAACTCTCCACAACAGCGCTCGAGTAGCTACAAGGTATTATAATAAATCGCCAGAAAATACGTTGAAAGTGAATTTGAAAATAAAAATTTTGAAAGCAATAAAATAATTATTGTAAAAAGAATTATGGCGAAAGTCTGTGCATTAAAATGTTATAACAAGTTCTTTAAAATTTACCTTCTAGCTATAGTGGCGCCACCCTTATTTAGCGCTTTCCTACGGACACTCCATGAGTAGGGACATTATATGTTACGTTCTGTTTCACTAGGGACATTCCCACTTTTGCACATGTATAGGGTTTTGAAATATTGAAGATATGAAGGACTATTATTGTTTTTATGCTTTGTACATAATGCTACATAGAAATACGCGCAAAAACCTAAGTGTTGCCATACTTAATATGTATTTGAATGTTTTGTGATATTCTTTGTTTTGCTCCTGTACCTTTTAATAGTTTAATTTTTTTTTGGATTTTTCCTTGTTACACAACTTTCTATCGCATGATTGATAGTAAAAATAATCCTATTAGACAAATTTACAACTCAGAGGTATCTCTCTCTCTTTAAAAAAGTAAAAATAACCAGACTTAGAATTTAAAGGCATTGGAGTATTTTATTATATATATAATTTATAAAGTATAAATAGTTTCTCTTGTGTGTTGTGCGTGTCATTAAGTAGTCGCGAAAATTCGGCTGTACGATTTTAATATCATAAATTAATAGTATTTACACATATTAATGCCATGTTTGCTTTAATTATTTTGTTTTACTAACTTTCTATTGCGTAATGTATTATTAACATCTCAATGTTTGATCACTCTTCCGACATAATGGTTATGTCTTTAAAAAGACAAACAGAAACATGATATAATACTATATAGCTTGCTACCTACACTGTAAACATATGAGAAATTATACAAAGTTTTTATTGACCTGAATTGAATCTATGATAAATAAGTTATAAACGTGGATCATTCACTGATTAAAACCTCAAACTTCTTTTTTGATAATTCGGCTTCAGTTCGGATTTGGTTGATATATTTATTGAAACTTGCAACTATCAAATTAATTTAAATTCAAATGGGACCGCTATGAAAGTATGCTATCAAAAATGACCAATTAGTTTCGAAAATTTCGATTTACACAAATAAAACTAATAATTAAATATAATAATTTACAGGTTTCACTAGATCTTTCTTCATGTTTATTTCTATCACAGCTAGTTACCATCATTCAGATGTTTTTATAAGCCATTCTTTTTTTTTTTTTGTGAAATTAAATATATTATGGCCAATGATGATGTCTGTTCTCCACTGTTGCGCTATGAACAAGTTAACATTTTTATTGTAACAATTTATGAACAATTTCTTCTTACTGGAATTCACTAGACGTACATGGCCACGGCCTGTTTGTTCGGGCATGTCTGTTGACGCCATACACAGACTCGTCAGTTTGTTTTAGACCAGCTACGTGTTTAGTTGTGATTGCACATTAAAATGACAACCAAGACTTGCAATGCTTATTACATGTTTATTATAAATTTGGTGCAAATAATGGTATCAAAATAGAAATAAGTTTAGTCATATCAATTTACATAAAGAATTAGAAATTGATGAATGAGAAGACATGTACAATTAATTGTGCATGGATATAAAGTCATATAAACTCTTCCCAGAATATTTTATTATCATTCAAACTCATTGCAAATTAAAAACCCCAAAGTTCGTTAAATAATATAAAAGGCCGTCTTCACTGGTTGCCGCCGCTCTTGTGTCTGTGAACAGACAGCGTGCAGTTAGCATTCACGTTCAGTTATGTCTGTGATCACGCTGATAGAATGAGATCGCGCGGACGTTCAACAGGCAAATTTGCCAGACCGGCTGCGACGGTCCTATACTATGAAACTTTGCACAGACTTATAGTAGCGCAGCTCGGCAGGTATGTCTGCAGACATGTCCGTGAGCAAGTCCGTCTAGTGAATTCTCCGCTTAAGTAATATTGTGTAAAAAAATGTGTGGTTTATGTAACTTCTAGAACTTATACCTGAATAAATAAGAGCTTGTGCATTCATTTAATTATTCGTTTTTCTAACCTACTATAGACTTTTAAGACACGTGGAAGATGCGGTTAACACTGTTGCTACCGTAACTTAATTGCTCATTTTGGTTATAGTATTTATTGTGTTTTTTGAATTTAGGCAGAAATTGGCCCAATGCCATTCCCTTCTGTGTTACACTATTGATATAATATTTAGTTTTTTAGCTGAACTCTTTATGCGTATGTAAATATTTATTCTTTGGAAATAAATTTATATTTATGCAGTCTTTTTTACCTACTTTTAATTTTTGCATTTTTTTTGTTTTGCATTGTTGTAAATAGAAAATTGGTTCTGGCAACATTGGTGTTGTGTCACAATAATCTTCTGTCTACGAATCAATGCCATTGGGTGCGTTTGGCAGAAAAAAGCGCTAGCAAGCGCTTACAAGCGCTGGAATAGTTTTCGGCCAGGACACGATTGCTACTTCAGTAGCGCTGACACAATCCGCCATTTTGCTTATTTAATTTGTTTGTTTTGAAGTAGAGTTTATAAGTTGTTTTGTGCAATATTAGTTTTAAGTAATATATTGACATGAATAAACATATACATGTTATTAAAAATTCATGATTGGTAAGTTTTTAATATGAATACTTTACAAACATATATTTAAATTAAGTTAGGTTCCCCGGTTAAAACTAACATTGTGTCCTGGAGGAAAATAGCTACTTACGATTTGACAGCGCTTACCGCTTACGATCGCCATTTTGCTTACAAGCGCTTGCTAGCGCTTTTTTCTGCCAAACGCACCCATTGTCATCTGTTCTCTTCTTTAAGCTTCATGGTCATCTGTCAGTTGTCAATTGTTTTATCAATTCAAAAACTGTCTACGGAACGTCGTGCAGAAATTTTCGTAAAAACAAATAAAAATAAATCATGGCTGTGTCCATGTTTAAATTATCTTCAGTATTGGTCAATTCTTCCAAAAATCTCCGATGTGTTGTCCGCCTTTTGGATAAGCATGTATTTTCCACTACAAGCATCAAAGCCGTAAGTTGCATAATCAGTTCATTTTTGTAAATATGTCATAATTAAGTTTTTTTCCTCTTTTCTTTATGGCTCCTCCAATTAGGATTCATCCAGTCAGTCATGGAAGCGAAAATAGTATTCACCAATATTACTTATACAAATACTCCCGGGGTCCGCATACGAAGTACCGGTTTATTGTCTTACCTAACAATGTTATGTTTTTATTTATACCTATCAACCACAACACCAAAAAAGGTATTTTATTTTAACAAATGCAAACATGAATATGTTAGCATATCACTGTCATGACCATCGTGATGGTGTCTAATCTAAAATTAATTTTTTGTTATTTATACGATTATCTTATGATTTAATTTGTTTTATTTGTCGTATATTTTAAATTTCAAAAAGAAATATAATAAAATATACCAATCTTGCAATATGAGTGTCAGTAGGTTAAGGTGCAGTTAGGCTTAAAACCGTATATACAAACTATATATAATTTGATATGTTATATATGATTGATATAAATTGATAACCATAAATAAATTAAAATATGAAAGAATTGAACTTTTTAATTTAAAAAAATATAGGATGAATACATATTTTTTATTTATATGATTATAGTATGAATAATTATTTTTTAATTATTCAATTATCATATATTTTTTTATAGATGAGGGGGCAAACGAGCATATGGTTCACCTGACGTTAAATGACTACTGCCACCCATGAACAGCAGTAGTCATCAAGGATATATAATTTTTATGAAAGAGTTGTATATTTTTCCCATAATACAACAGTAGCATTTCACTTCTATCTGTGGACCATAAAAAATATTACCTTTATCATTATCATTCCAGCCACACTAGACTGTGTGATGTGCTCATTTGTCACTCTATCCTATAAAAAAAAAAGAATTCTAGCCAGTCATTTAAATAATATTGTAAACCACTCTTAGCACAACCAATAGGAGTATTGATAGTGAATTAACAATGGGTGTGTTTGGCAGAAAAAAGCGCTAGCAAGCGCTTGTAAGCAAAATGGCGTTCGTAAGCGGTAAGCGCTGTCAAATCGTAAGTAGCTATTTTCCTCCAGGACACGATGTTAGTTTTAAGCGGGGAATCTAACCTAATTTAAATATATGTTTGTAAAGTATTCATATTAAAAACTTACCAATCATGAGTTTTTAATAGCATGTATATATTTATTCATGTCATTATATTACTTAAAACTAATATTGCACAAAACAACTTATAAACTCTACTTCAAAACAATCAAATTAAATAAGCAAAATGGCGGATTGTGTCAGCGCTACTGAAGTAGCAATCGTGTCCTGGCCGAAAACTATTTTAGCGCTTATAAGCGCTTGCTAGCGCTTTTTTCTGCCAAACGCACCCAATGTTTTTACGCATTGCTAGAATTTACTAAAAAACTATATATGTTGTAATGAAGTATAGATAACTTCATAATTCTTCGGATTTACGTAAAAGGTTATTTTAAATCGTCTGAGTACGCTTGTGCAAAGTTATTGCGGAATGATTAATGTGAAACGTCAAAAGGTATTTCTTAGATTTTGTTGACTATAACTGCCTTAATTTGATTTGAACCTATAACTTACCAAGCTTACAGCTTACTTCATTAACCATTGCTTGGCAGCATAAGCATATGGGGTACTGAATATACTTATGCTGCCACAGGTGCGGAATATCTGGCACTGAGATCTTCAATTCACCCATTAAACATGGAAATATTTTGTGGCAATTTATGGGGGAGGAATTTGTTTTGCAGTGAACTGGTAATAATAATGGACTGGTAAATGTTAATGTTGATGATAAATATTATTACACTATATCTAAAATTTATAACTATAATGTGATCCAAATAATTTTGATGGCAGTATGACTTTGACAATAAATGTTTATATCTAGAGAAGTTTTAGGCTATGTTGATATTTAACTGAAGTAGCAGAGCACACAAGGCGTGTCTATGTCTGCCTTTTATGCCCATACTTTTTTAGTTTAGATATTGAGAAATGATTTCTAAATCCATTAGTAATAATTGCGCGGCTTTGATCTTTTAAATAACTACTAAGTGATGAGTTTTGGTTTTGATTACTAATGGTAACCAGTATCTTTGTAAATACCTATACATAATTGAACCCTTCTGTCTTTGTTACATTAAGCATATATACTCTTTTTGTACAAGTCATAGAATAAGGAATTATTTTATGGAAATCCTTAATTTTGAAGTTGTAAGAACTTAATTATTCCGCATAAAGAAATAAAATGATATGTCCCATCCTCCCTCAATTGCATGCACCACCAATCCCAGCACCACCACTCTTAAAACCACCGCACTAGAAACAACACACCACTCTCGATAATACGACACATGTTTGCCACTAGTCTACACAAAGCATCCTCAGGTGAAGTAGACTGCGGAGATTGACTGCTAAGATCTTAGAGAGGGTAGGAGGTGCTCTCCGTACTGGGCCGGACACATAATTTTAATTCTTTACGTGGAATTAAGCAAATTAATGACAATGTCAAATCTTTAGGTACAGTTATTTATTAATTTCTTCTGAAAGTAACTTCTAAATTTAAAGCAAAAGTCAGATAACATTATGTGACTTTCGGAAAACAACTAATACCTGTAGAATCCATTAGTATTTCCTAAATTAGGGGAAGAAAATATTTTATTTTATGTTGATGGGGAGAAGCATTAAGGTGCAATTCCGTAGCCGACTGCAGGCAGCAGCAGCAGGCGACGTGTTGCGTCGTCATGTCGCTGCAGTCATGATTTCGAACCCGACCGCAGACGGCAGCAGCCCGTGTCCAGTCTGTTGCGAGTGTTCAGTGGGATATGATGTCTGACGTGTTTGAAATTGGCGATCGCGATTTATTTTTGTATCTTTTGTTAAAAGAGAAAGATGATGATGAATTGCTTTTATTATTCGAGTATAAAGAGAAAAGACGAAAAGAGACACATCCTGTGTTGAAATGCAGAGGAAGTGAGGAAATGTATAGTGCGGGATATTGGGCCACCTGGTTTATCAGTTTCTCTTCCTCGGAATCAGTAAAACTTATTTTTTAAGAAAAATTCAATGTGTTGTCGCTTGGGCGTTGCGGCACTACTGATCTGCGGTCGGGCTACAGTGTCGTCTGCCGCTAAGCAAAGGACGTTTCGCTAGCTACGGAACGTATTTCATGGAACTAACTACATAGAAACCAGTTGTGTCGCGACGACACGTCTGTCTGCAGTCGTCTACGGAATTGTACCTTTACTATGCACATGGATGGCGTCATCATCATCATCATCATTACAGCCCTTCACAAGTCTAATGCTGACCATAGGCCTTCCTCAAGGAATGTCACAAAGCACGGTCCTGAGCTACCTGCATTCATCGGCTTCCTGCACGCCTTACCAGGTCGTCACTCCATTTAGTGGGGGGACGACCTTTACTTCGCCTGGCGGTATGAGGCTGCCACTCGAGAACCTTTTTTCCCCATCGGTTGTCGGTTCTTCGAGCAATATGGCAGGCCCATTGCACTTCAGCTTACTAATCCGCTGGGCTATGTCGGCCACTCTGATTTTACTGCGGATATATAAAAATTTTGTCGAAATCAGATTTTAGCCTAAACTTAGTAATTGCAGCCGAACTAATAGAACTGCGACCGTGATTTTTTTCCAACAAGATAAACATAGGATAAACATCTTTTGTATTTTTAAACCAAACAGGGGCTTAGATTTATAAAATTCCGAACAAAAAAATACAGTTTTTTTTTCTTCAAAATATAATGTTTGCATTAACTCTCTTTGGTTCTAAAACAAATATTTCAATTATTATTTTTTTCTACAACATATCTTAAAAACTACTGGCGTTCATGAAGAATAAACCCTGGAAATATAATTTGGCTAGTACTACCTGTGCGGTTAAAGAATGGGATTGAAAATGGCGTCGCCTCTATTCTCCTTTTGCTGGCATACTGTCGCTATCTATACTCACACCCACTGGTAAAGACTGCAAAAAAAATACGTTTTTATTTGGATTTTTATAAATCTAAGCCTCTATTTGGCTTAAAGGTACAAAATATCCTCTGATTATCTTGTTTGAAAAAAAAAAAACAACACGGTCGCAGACCTAATAGTTTGGCTGCAATTACGAAGGTTAGGCTAAAATCTGATTTTGACAAAATTTTTACTAAAGTCTAAATAACTTGAACCACTGAATATCGTATTACATACAGGGGGCTTAAACCGATAGGTTCTGAGGTCCTCCTCCCCCTAGCCACCAATGATCCATCCCTCAAGTTACACCATGTATTAACAACA